TGTGGGTGTTGATATGTGAGTAGAAACTACCCTGAACATGGAAAGATCTGTGTCTAACTTCCCCACTGAATTTGTGGAGATTCCTAGCTAAAAGTTATCTCTTCTATTGAATTTAGTGGAAACAACTGGGAAAATTAATTGGAATAATTGACAGCAAAGGTTTTTCCAGCAACAACAGTTCTAAAAACTCGATCAGTTTAATTGATGCTCCTCTACAAAGTCTCCAGACTTCTGCTCACATCCCCACCCTGTTTATCTGTATTGTGATGGGGAGCACAGCCTCTGTAGAAATACTACTGTTTCTACAGGCTTAAACATGAAAATGAGAGTATTGGTGTCCATTGGTATGATAACAAATATAATAGAATAAGGAACATTTTTCATCTGACTGTCAACTCCTGGACTGATTTCCCAAGAACCCATAAAGCAAGGAACTAATTGAACTAATGGAAAAATGTATTATCATGTCCATTCATGTGGTTGCAATGTGGTGACAATTATGCTATTAAAATATCTGTATTCTGCAGTTCAAAAAAAAAGAGTTCATCTGAATAGCTGACATATCCATGAGAGATCATTGTTTTCTTTGTTTTATTTTGTTCTAGCACCACTGTACCAAAAAATGGATTGGATAGAGGTAAAATGGTAGCTATACAAATAACTGAAGCTGGTATAGTGCTTGCCACTGTTCCAGTTCCTTAGTGCTCTATGATGGCTTGTGTACACAAAAGGGAAATAAGTGAAGGAAAGATATGAAGTACAAACAAATGCTTCCATTTACATTACTGTAACTGCGCTCGATGCTGGTTTTTTCTGTACCTGTTATTGGAAGTTGGTGGGAGGCAATCATTGCAAGCATCTGTAAAGCTAGCTGTTAATTGCAATCTAAGTTTAGCTCAAGAGGAAAAAGAAAAACTCAAACTAGGTCTAGGAAAGAAATAAAAGTTCATGAGAGTTACTTAAGTAATGTGCAATTCTAAGTGAATATATGATACCAGTAAAATTGTCTGAGGCTTAGTTAAAAATCTGCATGAGTGGCAACCAGTGAATTCAGGATTGTGTCTTCTGAGTTGTGTTTGGTTTGAGATGGACTGTAATGCAGACACAATTGTTGAGGGCAGTCTGTACCTTGGGTTCCTCAGATTTTCTTGTACTGAAGTGTTCCTGTTAGTTTACTTGAACTGTGTAAACTTAATTATCTAGTGTATTTTAAAATGAGAAAAATATGAATTTTCTAGAGCATTGAGATTCTGAACTAATTTGAATCCTATTTTTAAATCTCAATTAAAATCAGGAATGCTTAAGGATCCAGGGAATTTAAAAGTGTTACTCTTGATAATCAATGTGGTAGACAAAGACTGTTTATGAGATGTTTAAAAAAACCCAAGGCCTTACTTTTTTTGTTATCTAGGTCTGATTCTGTGTTTTCAGCTCCAAATTCATGAACATCTAGTGCTCAAGTTGACAAAGTGTGGGGGGAAATGGTGATATCTCAGACATTTTATCCAATACTGAGTCCCTGATGCTATCATAGATATATATGCATAATTGTAATCTTAATTCTTCAAAAGAACATTTAAAATACCTTGAGTCTTGTGCTTCACCCTCTGTGACTGATTTCCATGTGCTTCACCCTCTGTGACTGATTTCCAAAGCAGATTTATTTTAATGGTTCATTTTAATATCTTATCCCCAGTTGACTGGTAGAGGTCCTAACAAAATACAGTCAGTTTCACACTCACATGTGAAGAAAGACTACCAAACCTGGCAGATACTCAGAGGAGAAACTGAGTAATAGCCCTAGGATTTTCTATTCCTTACTAACCAAAGGCACAGTCTACAAAACTGTCAGCAAACAGCAGATGCCATGAATAGTACCAAATTAAATTAAAAAGCTAAGATTGTCAGAGTTGTTTAAAGGATTCTGAAAGAAGTTGTATTTTAACTCAGCCTGGGGACCATGGGAGCTCCTAGTCTGTGGTGACAATCTATGACAGCCAGTTCTTTCCACCATGAGGAGAGCTAGGTGGTGTTTATGAACCAGTGCAATGTAACTACTGCTTTTGTTTCTAGCCCCTTGATCTTACAATGAGTGACTCATAAATGTCTTTGATATAGACAAGTGTTTATGTGAAATAATACCTATTCTAGTTTACTGCAGAATTTACCTATTGAAAGAGTGCATAGATAACATGACTTGTTCCACAGTAAGAAAATCAGACCTTTCAGGGCAGCACGTGTCACATTTCTTCCAGGTATAGATAGGTGCCTGAAAATGTTTGCATAAACAGTGGAGTGATAGCCTTTTCCCAATCACAAAACCAATTCTTACCACTTCAAACTGAGTAGTCAGTACACAGACTACAGAGCTGTGGTAACTTCAGTACATCTGCTCTTTGGACAGTCTGCTGTGTGGAATGCAAAGATTCCCCTCATTGGTTGTTGAAACATTTCCTCTTGCATTAAGGCAACTTGCTTATTCCTTGAATGGTGAAAAGCACCAAGTTTGATTGCAGGGCATTTTCCAAGCTCTTTTTCATTATAACTTCAGTACATGCTGTTCAGAAAGGAAAAAAAAGGACAGAGCATATTTTCAAATGGTTGTCATTTTGTTAAGCACTGATGCTTTTCTTTGCTCTTCAAAGAGTCTTGTAGAGTAACCACCATGTGGAGTCTTGCAAGCATTTTGAGCAATGCTTCTTTGAAAGTATTTTAATCATAGTACATGGTCCTGTCTGCATTATTATTTATCAGTTGAGTTCACCCAAACGTTTGAGTGTCTATCCAATTTCTCTTCAAAAAGAATAATAGAATACTCAAGTATATACTCCCATCTTCAAAAATGAATTTTGTTCTCTATTAACCTACACAACTCATCTCTCTGAAGAAGGAAAAATTAGGCCTTTTTATGAGCTACCCACAGTCTTTCATGATCCCACCCATCTTCATCACCTCTCTCAACATAGACCTTAAACTTCGAAGCACTGAAAGTGGGGGAACTCTATATTTTCTTTTCAAACTGAAGAGTGAGATCTGTTTGGAATACGGATGTGAGGAAGAACAATCAGACTCTGAATTCAGAAAGTAATGCTAGTAACACAAACTGTGCCTAAAACACGACAAAAAACTGTAAAATATAAGAGAGCACTTGCAACTTAAACAAATAAGTGAAAAGAATTATGCATCATTCGTTCAAGTTTTATATGTATCTGAAATAGAAAAGTGAGTTTGGTAATGTACTCTGTGGCACAAAATTCTGTGCTCTTGGTGGCAAAGAAAGGAGTTGGCCTAAGGAAATGTCAGATAGCTGTATTTGTCCTATATGGACTGATTGAGCTGCATCATTTTGAAATCCTGAGAAATCTGAAATCCTGACAAGCATGAAATTTGCCCATAGTACATGTTCACATCCTTATCAATCTATTAATTCTCAGAAGAGAATCCCAGCAAAATGACTGAACATATGAATTGAACAACCTACATAAAAGTCAATATTTATTGCCAGAGCAACAGAGAATTTAAAGCTATTCCAAAACTTCATTCTTCAAACTAAAGGCTGCAAGGTAGGGGAAGAAAACCCCAACAACAACAAAACAAAATCAAATTTTAAAAAAAAACAAACCCTGAAGCATGTGATTAAGTCCATCTTTACTCAAGAAAGGTGTGAATTACCTATTTCAATTTAGACAGAGAATTAACCCTAAGGAAGTAAATAAAACTGTTCCCATAAGCAGCTGAAAAATGTGAACAAGAAGCTCCAGTCTTGTCTCATAACTATAATCAATGTATTTGTTATCTGCACACCAATCATTATTTTAATATGTTTCATTTGTAAATATATCTTGCTTGCCTTTTGATGCTAGAACAGCTGTACCGTAAACCCAGCAGTTCTCAAATGAATTTGTACTCTCAGGGTAACTAATTTTGACAGATAAAATATTGAAGCTGAGATGTTAAAAATAAGCTTTTAGTAGTAGTCAAAAAAAGTCCCTAGAGATTACATGAGCATGATTGAGAGTCACTGCCTTACAGGATTGGCTTCCTTACATGCTCATTACAAGCTCATAGCCTGAGTTGTTCTTAATATGCAATTTTCTTTGTGACATGGGTTTTTTTTGGGGGGGAAGGGGAGAGCTGTGCATTTAAGATTTAGAAGAACAGGGACACTTTAGGACATAACTAACATCTCAAAACCTAAACTTTTACAGTATTAAGATAACTGCATAACTGTGAGAACTGATGGAAACTCTTAGGTTACATTTCTCAAGCATTGTAGCATCTGAACAGTATAGCAACATCATATTGCATAAATTCACAGCACATTTTCTCAATGTAGAAACTGTCTCTTTGTGAGGATAATTAAGATCCATATGAACCTTATCCATATTTCTGAATATATTATTCTCCAAGAAGTTGCTGTTGACCCAGGAAAGCTGTAGGTGCTACTCCTTTGCTTTTCTTGTAATACAGAACAACCCCTCAAAGCACTTCAAGAGCAGTAAAGAGTACAACTTTTACAAGCACATTCTTCTTTTCAAACCACTTAGACAGCTTTTCATATACAAATGTATGTGTGTAGAAATAAAACTCCTACATAAATTCCAGTGTCTAAAAGGTATATAAATGTGTATGATGTTTTTTTCTACTGGGGATGATGGAGTATGAGGCTTTTCAAGAGCAGAACTTGACATTCTACATGCAGCACCTTTTCATTTGTGTAAATTCAACACAAACATAGCAGGAACCCAGAAAGTTATGGCTCTGCTTTTGTTATAATTTCTCAGTTTAGTAATTGTAGATCCGGTCACTAAAATATTATCCTGTTGGTACTTCATAAAAATAGTTCTTGAAAGTTTTTTGTGACCTCTTCAAAAGCATCTGAGGCTGCAAAAATAGCTTCTCCATGTAAAAAGAAAAATAAAAAATTTAAATTTTTGCATGATCTGAATTGAATTGTTGGCAGTATGATCAGATTTCTAATAATTGCTTTTCTTTTTTAGGAAAGCATAGATTTGGGTGAGATCATGTTTTCCCTTTGTTATTTGCCTACTGCTGGGAGAATGACATTAACAGTCATCAAATGTAGGAATCTCAAAGCAATGGATATAACTGGTGCATCAGGTAACTCTACTTTTTTTTAATAAGAAGGCAGAATCTATTCAGGAAGGGGATAAATAAGAACTCCTTGGGTTTTGTGTGTTTAACAGGAGAGTGGGTATAGACCCTGTTTAGATGTAGTGGCTATCTTTGGTCTGGCCATTGATGTGTCTGTTCAGAATTCCCATACCTTTCCTTTGCATTTACAGCATGTTAAAGGCAGTGTTTGCCAGGGTCACTAAAATATATGTATTTTTAAATCTTAGCAATATGACATTCCTACAGCAAATAGGTTCTTATGCTACATATTTGAACGACTTTGGGTTCAAATGCATGTAACTGATTATCTGTCACTCAGATCCATATGTCAAAGTGTCACTGATGTGTGAGGGACGAAGACTGAAAAAAAGGAAAACAACCACAAAGAAGAACACACTCAATCCCATTTATAATGAGGCCATCATCTTTGATATCCCTCCAGAGAATGTGGACCAGGTCAGCCTTTCCATTGCAGTGATGGATTATGATCGGTAAGCACAGTTTGTTTTCTAACCATTAATCAGCAATGAGATGGCACCTGATCATTGCAAGTGACTGCTTTCTGCCTCCTTGAACTCACAAGCAGCTTCAGTGTCACAAAAGAGAAAGCCTTGGGGTCTTTTCCTGAAGAGGTTTAAAGATTCCACACCTTTTAGAGCACACAGCATTTGATCTATGTTATAATTAACTGTGATGAGGAAGAAATATGGTTCAATCTTCTCATGGGCCACTTGCCTTGGCATACATTCCTGTCCACATCTGGTGGCTGGACTAAGTAAAACCTTTATAAATCAGGTATGTCTCCCAGTTTAAAAAAGTCCATCACACCTCTGAATTTTGTAATTTAACTGATAGGCGTTTGAAACCAAAGAAAATGTGTACAACTAAAAAAGAATTGGATGCTAATTGTCTCATTGAATTAAGTCATAATTAATTCATCAGTTGATTCAATAAAGTAATCTTTCAATATGTAACCTTCAGCATGTAACCCTTGGGTTCAGCCATGGCTGATAAGTTATCTAAGCCTTAATTATCTGTGTCCTTACCAAGAGCTGACAGGAAGATAATCCTGCTTAGAGTGACTCAAACACTGCAGGTTGAACTAGACAGTGAGTGACAGAATCCTGCCTGAGCCAAGTCTGCTTCATTCAAGTGCTATTAGTAATGAGCTCTTGAGATTGCAGGGCAAATAAACAGCAAAAGTCCAATTTAGTAACATGACCCTTCAGATTGTTTTTCCTTGCCATCAGATTTCTGGTTGTCCTCCAGCTTCTGTCAGTAAGACTTTCTCAGTCAGATGTGAAAGAGGCATTGTGGTCCCATTAGCAGAGGAGTAGCACAGTACAATCCTCATCAGTTGCTCCTTTCTCAGCATTTGCTAAGAGGAAATTAGAAAGCATTATGTTAAGATTCAAAAAATTACTTTTTGGAGTCTCTCAACAAGGCTATGGCACTTCTAGGAGTATGAAGTATTTAGGTATAGCCTATTACAGCTATGACTCTTGCCTTTCACATTTTTGACTGAAGTTCCAAAGAACATAACAGCTAGAGCTGGGATATAGTTTATGAAATTATGTCTGAAG